AAACTTTCTTGTTGAAGTGTGGTTACAATTATTAAATGTTGTTCTTAGGAATTAACAGCCACATGGAAAGAAAATGCGGTGATCTGTCGGCTCAAACGGTCTAATTCAATTAGATACGGGGGGTATTTGTTTTTTTTTTTTAAATTGTTTATTTATTTTACTATGTAATTTATTTGAAATAACCAATAAAAAATAACATTACGATGACATCGAAAAAAAAAAAAAAATAAAATAAAATATATTTAACATAATTTTTATTAGTATCGGTGCAACCAATAAAATTATTCCCCTCTATAAATGCACGCTCTCATCCATTCCCAAGGGGGGTGCACTTATGGAGGGTTCACTGTATGTTAATGTTTTAAGTAAAAATGATCGGTAGGGATTTTTACGTGTCGAAATACAGTATATTAAAGTATATTAATTATGATATAAAATTTTTATTATAAATTCACATACATATATATAGTAAAAAGAAATCTATAAAAAAATCTAAATAGAAAAAATATACGAAAAAACTTAATTTTCATAAAAATCATAAAAATAAATTTTTTTTTTAAAAACTAAAATAATATACATCGGTTTATATATATATATATATATATATATATACATTAATTAAATATCTTATTAAGTATATTATATTCTTTAATTCTTAATTGAATTACTTAAATAATTATTATTGAAAAATAAAATTATTGATTTGAGGATCGTCTATTATTAAATCATATAAATTGTGGTCGTCGTAGTTGTTGTTGTTGTTAATATTGTTATTATAATTATAATTATTTATATCGATAGTATTAATATCGTTTAAATTATTATTAATAATGTTGGTATTATCGATATTGTTATTTATATCATTATTATCATTATTGAAAATTAGAAATTCGTCTAAAGAATTATTATCTTTTAAATTTGTTAATTGAGGGAACGGAGTAGGATTAGGTATTGAGACTAATGGAGATTCAGGCATCGACCATATTATTGGAGAAGATTGAGTTGAGAAACCATTAGATGTTGAATAAGAAATTAAAGAAAGCGTCGGCGATGGAGGTAAAGAATTAGAATTAATCAGTTCGTTGTTGATGTCGTTGGATACGAAATTAAAAGGATTTAAAATTGGATCGTTATGATTATATGATAGAAAGGGGGAACCAAAGATATCTAAACCTAATCCTTGAGTGATAGAAATTTCGCCCTTTTGTAAATTATTATTATTAATATCATTTAAAAATAAACCAAGGTTTAAATTTAAATCGACTAGATCATTATAATCCAAACTACTTACTATTTTATTGCTATCAGTGTAGTCGATGTTAGAGATGTCCGAAGGAGAAGACAATATTCCGGAAGGAAAAGAAGGTGTTGGTGTTGATGTTGATGTTGGTGTTGGTGTTGGGGAACTTTGCAACAAATCAACATCAACATTAATATTAATATCAACATTGCTATTAATATTTTTCGTATTTTCTTTTTCGTATTTTTCTAAACGAGCTTTATTATAAAGATTTTCAGTTTCTCTTGCAAGTTTTCTGTATTCAGTCTTGACTTTTAATGTTTCTAGATTCCAAGATTCCGATGCAATTGTGGAAACTTTGGTCATCTTAACACGACAATTATTTTCTTTAAGTTCCTTGACTAAAGCAGCACGATAAATGAAAAATTCATTTGGAACTTTTGGTGATTTTGATTTATGATTAATCAATTTAGCAACTAATTCTTTTGGATCAATTTTTGGTGGAAAACTTGGACGTTTAATCTTGAATTCAATAGTTTCCTTCTCGTTATTGTTATAGTCGTTGTTGGCTGTCATTTTTTATTTCGTTTTTAGTAAAAATAAATAATTTATTTGACGATAAATAAAATATTTTATTTGGTTTGTTTTTTTTTTTTTTAAGAAAGAGAGAAAGAGAATAAAAGATGAAATTAAAAAATCAAGTAACTTTGTTCGTCCTGTATTTATAGAAATTCTTGGAATTAAAATTGGACTGCGGTTCTGTTATTCCGTAGCGGAGATTTTTCTTTTTATGCAGCATTGAATTATTTTCCGAAATTTTTCGAATAGAATATTATATATCCCGCAGTTTGCTCAACCTGAGCGTTGCCTAATTAGTAAAAGTGATTCAATTGTACGCAGCTACAAAAGACGTATTTTGAAACAACTGGGTGTGATTTTTAAAAAGGATAATTTTAGTAAATTCGTATTACGATTTTTTTTTATTACACAAAAAATAAAATAACCAACCTCTCAACTAATAAATAATTACAAGCTCTGCGTAGACAGCCTACAATGAAGCATATTATAGATGCCTATCAATGGTTGATTTGTAAGATGTAGACCTAAAGGTCACTGAAGGAGGGCCCTTGATTTTGTTTGATGCGTCCACAACATTTATACGTTTTATAAAGTGCAGACGACCACCTTGCACCAAGGATGCTCGAGGGATTTATGGAGCAAATGCAGATGCAACCAGGTTAACGTTTGTCTTGCAGTTTTAGATGATTAGATTTTTATGAAGCCATTATCATTTTGTGTTTTAAACTCTGGGGCAAAACTATACGATGACCATTTTGCAAATTTTTGATGGCATTCATCTGTAAGATTATGAATTTTCTTGTGGATCCGGAGCATACGTTGACAGGGCTTAATCTTTTGCATTTATTTGCTTTGCCCTTGAATAGAAAGGACTCACCACTTGAGTTATATTCAGTCATAAAATTTCTCAAAGAAACATGATGCTAGCACTTTTATTTTATCCTCTTCAACCACAGAAATTTAGGACCTTGGTTATCAGCCTGAATTTCAACTAGTTTAGAATTAATTTTAAAGAATTTTTTTGCAGCAATATTTGATAATTTACTCCAATACTAGAATGGATGCCAAGAACCCATTTGATGTTAGTGTAAAATTTTTAGATTTATTTATATGGTTTTCACTTGATCATTGTTTTTCATATCAATATTAACTACTTCCAAACATTTAATATGGTTTGTATTTCTTCCAAATTAAGATAAGGTTTGACTTTAAGAGCTTTCCCGGTGTGAGGTTTTCAGAAGAAGATGAAGCCAGAGATACATTGAGACTTTCCATATGCAATCTGGTAAAAGAGAATATTAATTAGGCGTTGGATTGGTTGATCCAACTGTAACCCATTGCACCCTCCTCATCAAGAGAAAGCAAGTTAGCATTAAATTGAGCATTAAGGTATGTCTTTCTTGCCTGGTGTGACCAATAATATTGAAGCTTATTTCTGTTATTAATAATTTGTTCTAAATCATTTGGCATAACTTGCATTAGTTGATGAAACCATTTTGATATCTTATTGCATTGGTTACAGTTCATTAGTAGATAAGATTTTATTATCAATCAGTAATTCATGTTTAGTTAGGTGATTATTCACTGCTTTTAAACTATTATATTATTGATTTCTTCATCAGTATAGCTATTATTGTTGTTGTTCTTCATACACCTATAGCCCTATATATAATTTTTATTTGTTTATTAAAATATTATCACTCACTACCAGCATTATTGATTATTGAAATAGATATAGTATATAAGAAAATATAAATTCAATTAGGTACAGTCAGTCTTGCCAAAGTAGATAGATATTGAAGCAAATTTTAATTTTTTTTTATTTATCCGTAAAGATCTAGTAAAGATGCATTAATTTTAATTTTAACTTTGCTATTTGTTTTCAATTATTCTTCTTTTCTTTTTTTCTTCTTCTGTTTCCTTTATTTTATAAGTGATTGGAGATATTTCTATTTCAACCAACCACTTCTTTTGTAATGGTGGTGTACTTCGATCATCATCATTTGGATAAGTTACCAAATATTCCACTCATTGTATTATAAAGACTAGTGCCGTAATCCAAAAAAGGAAAAAGTATGGTTGCAAAAGTGGTCACAAAGGTAATTGCAATCATTTTTTATATGCCGTAAATACAATTACTACCATCCTCATAATTTACGGCACTAGTCTTTATTATATTACAATTTTGAAATATAATTGACTACAACATTATAAAAAAAATTGATTACTTTAGTGCTTAAACAGCAACGAAAGAAATATATATATACTTACCCTTAATTGAATTAGTAACAATAGTGAACCAGCTAAATTTCTATGCCTTGAATTGTTGCTGGAAATTTAAAAGACATGATCTCATGATATAAATAAAGTTCTGGGAATTTTAAATACATTACATAGACTCTGGCCTCCAGACCTAAAATTATACAATGATAAATGACTATTTTAATCATTTTTATTGACATAACCTTTCATTTAATTGCCTGAGGTTTGTATGCCAAATAAAGACTAGTGCTGTAAATTATGATGATGGTATTATTTACGGCATATAAAAAGTGGTTGCAATTACCTTTGCGACCACTTTTGCAACCATACTTTTTCCTTTTTTGGATTACGGCACTAATCTTTAATGCAAAATGATTTCAACTTATCAATATTATCACCTTTTTCTTCTTGTAGTAATTCTTTATAAATGGAAGTAATTTGGTCATGTAGTAAAATCCCTAATTTTTTTTTATCTGTTTTGAATTTTCTACAATCTTCTACATAAGTTTTTTTGCTTTTTCAATCACAAGTATCTCTTTGTTCATTTTTTTATTGATTAATTTTGAATCAGGAATTAATGATAAATGGGTTTTATCATCATCCTTGTCGTTTCTTCTTTCGCCATTAGCAGTATGTAGCTGCCAAATATATAATAACCAACTAGAGTGACGACAAGTGGTAATAACCACCATTATTTTTAACAACTAGAATAATGACGAGTTGCAATGATTACAACTGCTATCACCAAATAAAAAAAAATAAATTGTTATATATATATATTGCCAATTCTGTGATGCAAACAAATTTAAAAAGATAGGGTTATAAAGTAAAGAAGAATAACGCATTTCAGGATATTCACGATTAAAATACATACTATCAATGCTAAATAATCTAATACTATATATAATTTAATTTGTAGAAAGGGTTAATAATAATGATTTGTCAGAATCAATATCCTTAATAATAAGACAATTAAATAAAATAAAAATTACTCACAATATCTTGATAGTTGATATAATTAAGTTGATAATCATTGTCTTTTCTTCAAAATTTGTATACAATTCTTTATGACTATATTTAATTAAAAAAGCTTCACCTTTATTGATGTCTGATATGGCTGATATTTCAGTTAACATTTGTTTTATTTCTTCATCTTTAGTACATCAAGGTCAGATCTATTAATTTTATGAGTTACTCTAAATTCATCTTTAAAATTCGATAATGTTGTATACAAATCTGATTCTTTCTTTTTTTTATCTTCGAAATTTATAATACCATATCTCATTAGATCATTAAAAATAAAACAATAAAATTCATTGGTTCAAAAAACAAGCATAGAAATATTTATACAAAGATATATTATTATCATTAATAAATACTCGTTTTTGGTATTGTCATGTATTAATTTAAACTGATCCTCCAATTTTTTCAAAGCCTAAAATATTAAATGACTTGTTAGTTTTCTAAAAAAAATTAATAAAAATGTCATTAATAAATTTGTTCACGTCATTGTAATCGACACCAAATGATGGTGTCTTTTTTACAGTAATTTCATATTTATTGGTATCAGAATTAATAAAAGTGACCAGGGTTGTGCAATTTCGCTGTACGAGAAGAATCTTCGTACGTATGACTGACTTCGTACCATTGAGTTTGTACAGTTTCGTTGTGGTCGTACACCTGTACGAGGAAATTTTACATATGTACGTACGTACGTACGAATGTACGATGTATCAGGAACGATGATTTTCTGCGGTGGCAAAATATTACTTTGTAAAATCCTATAATAATAATATTATTATTAAGCCGATAACACTATTATATAATTAATGGATTACCAGATGTTGTAACTGGGGTCGTAATACTATTTCATTATCAGAAAAAAACTGATTATCATGTTATATATGCTTATTTAAATCCCTTGTTATTATGTAGTAGTATTATATACGTTATTATTATAGTCAGTGTTGTGCAATTTCGTTGTACGAACGTACGATGATTTTCTATGGTGATAAAATATTATTTTATAATAATATTATACTGTCAGTCCTATTACTATTACGATTACTATAATTAAAGGTCGTGGCAGATCGTAATACTACTTCGTTACCAGAAAAACCCTGATTATCATATTATACTTACATTATTCTGGGTGCATTATTGTTAGTAATATTAGTAGTATTATTATTACCGTGATTCCTAAATTTTGTTTTCTATTTATTTATAATAAAATCTTTACATTCTTGTTAATTATATTATCAATTTAAAATAATTAATATTAGTATTAAATATCTTCAATCATATACGTAGTTAATTCCACAATATAGTCAAACCTTGACACAGCGGATGAACGGTACACATAAACAAATTTTATTTAAAATCCGTTGTGGCAAGATTACTAAATACTAATACTAATCTTGCCACAGCAGATTTTTATATATTTTTACATGTGATATGCGAAGCAAAAAATTTTAAAAATCCGTTATGACAAGAGTTTGATTATTATTATAGTTCGTTGTGACGAAAGTTACACATATATATTACATTTGATCAACCAATAAAAATTATCATAAATCACATGATATGTTCGTACAATGTACTAAAAAAATTTTAAGCTCATACATACGATATGTGCATGTGTGCATGTACGATCCCCAACCCTGATAATACTTGCTCTCAGGGTTATAATTACAATACTTCAATTCATTGTATTTTGGGATATTGTGTCCCCTTATTTTTAGCATATTTCCCAGATGAAATAGCTTTAGCTCTTGGCCTCTTTGGAGTAGTTAACTCTGGTGTTTTCACCTCTACATACTTGATTTCTTCTTTGGCCTCTACTAGATCACCAGTTTCAAATGGGGCTCTACTATCATCAAGGGATTTTAGTGCATTGCTAATATAGTTAAATGCTTGGTCAATATATTCAAAAATTTTTGGTTTACTTTATATAGATTGTAGAAATGTTTAATTTGAAAATTTTTATTGATTTATTGGTTTTCTTGTTTTGATATAAACTACTCTGCTTTGCTATGCAGATTGTTTTCACTTTGTTCTATGTCTATTTGTGTACTGAATTTTGTTTTCTTAATACCTTGCATACTTCTTTTATTTTCACTTTGTTCTCTGTACCTTGTTTTCCTTATGCTCCACTTAGTTCTGCTGACTTTCTTGCTATGCTCACAAAAAATGATTACAGAGATTTGTTCATATATATGTTTATACAGTAAATACTATGACGAATTTTTGTTCCTTTGATGTGGCCTGGAACATGTTTCACACCGCATTTCTATGCGGCTAGAAAAAAATTTAGTATACTATGGTATAAAACTTAATTATGTTGAAATTAGCCTCTGGAACACCTTGTGGCTATAATGATATAAAAAGTCTATATAGTAAAAATATGTGATCTGTTCCAGAAGCAGCAATATTATACAACAGGCAATACTTAAAATGGCTTTGAGTCCAAGTGTTGGACCATTTGTCCAATTGAACATATACAAATGGAACACAAGAAATATTATTCTAAGAAAATAAATAATCGAAATCAGGGTAGTGTATTTTTCCTTTTTTATGCAATTTGGATTTTTGAAGCTTCATGAATTAAAATGATTTTATTTATATTTCTACTATAAATTTAAACTTATAATTTGTTAGCTCCAGTGATGCCATTTGTAAATCTGATTTACAGAAGTTGTATCTAGCAACTGGAATTGTCATACTATTTACAACCAAGTGTCAAAATCCGCAAGTCTCTGTAATATGTAAATCATTCTGTAAACTTCAAATGTGCAAAAGTTCTAAACACTGTATATACAGGAATAACAATAATAAAATTACAGAATTACAGAATTACAAATTACAGATACATTTACAGGTTTTTTAACTAAAAATTGTCATATGGGAGTTTTCAATAGAATGGACCATGTTGTGAAAAAAGCAATTTTGATTTAACATAATTTCTGTATGTAACTCCTCACATAGAAAATTTTGACTTAGAAGCCATACCCATTTTGCATAAGATATTTTCCCCTCAAGCTTCAAAAACAATACAGTCAAACCCTCGTTCCAACAGATTTTTGTTTTTGCTCCTTGATTTCATTAATTGTAATATTAATATTAATATTAATTCACTGCATGCATCAACACATTTTAGCAGATAATTTCGAGTTAAGAATGTAATAATTCATCATTTTCCTCAAACACAACTGCACACTTGCAACTATGTGATGCAGGGATAATTCATACTTTTAAGGTATATATTTCAAATTATTAAATTATTTATTAAATTATTTATATCAAATATATTAAATCATTTATATGTATTTATAGAAATTATTTATTGCAAGAAGATTAAAGTTTTTAATAGAAACAAAATGATTAAAAAAGCAATAAATTTTGCCTCAGAAGCCTGGAAAAATGTTACATCAATCGCTGTTAATAATTGCTGGATAAAAATTGGTATTATTCCTTTAGATTATGAAGAACAAGTTGGAGATGCAATAACATTAATACAAAATATTATAAATGATCAAAAAAATGATGTTGATAATTTAATTGATAGATTAAATTTCAGTTCAGCATTAACAACAGAAGAATATACAGTGCATGAAAAAAATTTTCATAATAAAATGTGTTTTAAATAAACACAACTTTCTTTTGAAAGATTTTAACTGAAAATCTACTTGACAATGCAAACAATGTCATGGGAAAACATTGAATCTTTCAACAAGATAACGACCCTAAGCATACAGCCAGGGGTACTAAAAACTTCTTGCACAACACTGTCAAAAATGTTGGATTGGCCATCAAATAGCCCAGATCTCAATCCAATTGAGAATTTGTGGCAAATTTTTAAGGGACATGTTGAAGAGCAAGCCAATTAAGTGTTAATTTAAAAAAGTCAGTTATTGCAGAAAGTTTTTGTAAAATAATTCAGAAAGAATGGGGAGTGGATCAACAAAAAAATTTTTGTTAATTTAATCTATAATGTGCTGTCAAGGTTAAATGAAGTGATTGAGAAAAATGATAATAAGGTAAGCTACTAAGTAGTTTTAAGTAAACTTATTTATCAAATCGTAAAGAGCATATCTATAAATTTTCATGTGCTGTTAGCTTTTTTTCATTTCACAATAAATAAAAATTACATTCTGAAAACTTTTTCATGCACTGTATATCAATTGATAATTATAAGAATAATGAAATGTCAACTGAAGAGGAAATTCTTAATTCTTTTGAGGAAATTGAATTGTAAGTAGTACAACTATTCCTAATGTTCGATAAATAAAGCTGTAAAAGCTTTTGAAACTGCTTTTATTTTTCTTGGACAAAATAATATACAAGCAGATTATAATGAATTAAAAGCTTTAAAATCATTGGGAAAAAAATAGAATCATATAGCATTCAAAATTCAATACAAATACACATCACTAGTTTTTTCAGTAAATAATTGATATTAATTAGCATTTTGATTTTTTTGTATTATATTAAGTATTTTATTAAGTATTATTATTATTTAAAATCATCAAACATAAAAAAATTTATTATATGGACATACTGCTACACAACAGACTAAGTGAATATTAATATTAATATGAACATTATTAAAATTACAAGCCTAGTAAAAGCAAACTAGCCAAAGTTATTTTTGGCAATTATTACCAACTATTTTTTCATGTGATACAGTGAACCCTCCATAAGTGCACCCTCTATAAATGCATCCCTCCATAAATGCATTCATGCTATGTCTCATTCCCAACCTCGGGAATTAAAGATAAATGCACATCCTCCATACTCTGCATTGCGCGGTCTTCCCCCATCCCGTTCATATAAAACCACCCTATCTAAATGCACGCCCGTGACTTTCATGTAATTTATTTCCTAAATAAATTCGTGTTACATTAATTAATTCAAACGTTATTTAATATTAGTAATGGAAAATAAAGGGTAAGCTACTGTTGCTTATAAAGGATTAAATGAATGTTTATTAATTCTTTCTTTTTAATTGACAAAGAGTTATTAGAATAATAATAATAATAATACAAATGGAGAAAATTATATATATGAAGATCACGAATTTTTTTAAAAAATTTATGTTTAATAAGAGTAATCAAAAATAAAATAAGAAAATTCTAAGAACAATTAGGACAAATTAATGCCCTTGAGTGGTACATTGATTTAAAAAAAAAATTCAATGAAGCAAACCACAATGAAACAATTTTTTATTCAACAATAATATTTAATATCTAATAATAATAGTAATTAAAAAAATATTTAAAATTGTACAACAATAATTTTTATTAGTACCACGTGTAACCAATAAAATTCTTCCTCTCTATAAATGCATCCCTCCATAAATGCACGCTCTCATCCATTCCCAAGGGGGGTGCACTTATGGAGGGTTCACTGTATGTTAATGTTTTAAGTAAAAATGATCGGTAGGGATTTTTACGTGTCGAAATACAGTATATTAAAGTATATTAATTATGATATAAAATTTTTATTATAAATTCACATACATATATATAGTAAAAAGAAATCTATAAAAAAATCTAAATAGAAAAAATATACGAAAAAACTTAATTTTCATAAAAATCATAAAAATAAATTTTTTTTTTAAAAACTAAAATAATATACATCGGTTTATATATATATATATATATATATATATACATTAATTAAATATCTTATTAAGTATATTATATTCTTTAATTCTTAATTGAATTACTTAAATAATTATTATTGAAAAATAAAATTATTGATTTGAGGATCGTCTATTATTAAATCATATAAATTGTGGTCGTCGTAGTTGTTGTTGTTGTTAATATTGTTATTATAATTATAATTATTTATATCGATAGTATTAATATCGTTTAAATTATTATTAATAATGTTGGTATTATCGATATTGTTATTTATATCATTATTATCATTATTGAAAATTAGAAATTCGTCTAAAGAATTATTATCTTTTAAATTTGTTAATTGAGGGAACGGAGTAGGATTAGGTATTGAGACTAATGGAGATTCAGGCATCGACCATATTATTGGAGAAGATTGAGTTGAGAAACCATTAGATGTTGAATAAGAAATTAAAGAAAGCGTCGGCGATGGAGGTAAAGAATTAGAATTAATCAGTTCGTTGTTGATGTCGTTGGATACGAAATTAAAAGGATTTAAAATTGGATCGTTATGATTATATGATAGAAAGGGGGAACCAAAGATATCTAAACCTAATCCTTGAGTGATAGAAATTTCGCCCTTTTGTAAATTATTATTATTAATATCATTTAAAAATAAACCAAGGTTTAAATTTAAATCGACTAGATCATTATAATCCAAACTACTTACTATTTTATTGCTATCAGTGTAGTCGATGTTAGAGATGTCCGAAGGAGAAGACAATATTCCGGAAGGAAAAGAAGGTGTTGGTGTTGATGTTGATGTTGGTGTTGGTGTTGGGGAACTTTGCAACAAATCAACATCAACATTAATATTAATATCAACATTGCTATTAATATTTTTCGTATTTTCTTTTTCGTATTTTTCTAAACGAGCTTTATTATAAAGATTTTCAGTTTCTCTTGCAAGTTTTCTGTATTCAGTCTTGACTTTTAATGTTTCTAGATTCCAAGATTCCGATGCAATTGTGGAAACTTTGGTCATCTTAACACGACAATTATTTTCTTTAAGTTCCTTGACTAAAGCAGCACGATAAATGAAAAATTCATTTGGAACTTTTGGTGATTTTGATTTATGATTAATCAATTTAGCAACTAATTCTTTTGGATCAATTTTTGGTGGAAAACTTGGACGTTTAATCTTGAATTCAATAGTTTCCTTCTCGTTATTGTTATAGTCGTTGTTGGCTGTCATTTTTTATTTCGTTTTTAGTAAAAATAAATAATTTATTTGACGATAAATAAAATATTTTATTTGGTTTGTTTTTTTTTTTTTTAAGAAAGAGAGAAAGAGAATAAAAGATGAAATTAAAAAATCAAGTAACTTTGTTCGTCCTGTATTTATAGAAATTCTTGGAATTAAAATTGGACTGCGGTTCTGTTATTCCGTAGCGGAGATTTTTCTTTTTATGCAGCATTGAATTATTTTCCGAAATTTTTCGAATAGAATATTATATATCCCGCAGTTTGCTCAACCTGAGCGTTGCCTAATTAGTAAAAGTGATTCAATTGTACGCAGCTACAAAAGACGTATTTTGAAACAACTGGGTGTGATTTTTAAAAAGGATAATTTTAGTAAATTCGTATTACGATTTTTTTTTATTACACAAAAAATAAAATAACCAACCTCTCAACTAATAAATAATTACAAGCTCTGCGTAGACAGCCTACAATGAAGCATATTATAGATGCCTATCAATGGTTGATTTGTAAGATGTAGACCTAAAGGTCACTGAAGGAGGGCCCTTGATTTTGTTTGATGCGTCCACAACATTTATACGTTTTATAAAGTGCAGACGACCACCTTGCACCAAGGATGCTCGAGGGATTTATGGAGCAAATGCAGATGCAACCAGGTTAACGTTTGTCTTGCAGTTTTAGATGATTAGATTTTTATGAAGCCATTATCATTTTGTGTTTTAAACTCTGGGGCAAAACTATACGATGACCATTTTGCAAATTTTTGATGGCATTCATCTGTAAGATTATGAATTTTCTTGTGGATCCGGAGCATACGTTGACAGGGCTTAATCTTTTGCATTTATTTGCTTTGCCCTTGAATAGAAAGGACTCACCACTTGAGTTATATTCAGTCATAAAATTTCTCAAAGAAACATGATGCTAGCACTTTTATTTTATCCTCTTCAACCACAGAAATTTAGGACCTTGGTTATCAGCCTGAATTTCAACTAGTTTAGAATTAATTTTAAAGAATTTTTTTGCAGCAATATTTGATAATTTACTCCAATACTAGAATGGATGCCAAGAACCCATTTGATGTTAGTGTAAAATTTTTAGATTTATTTATATGGTTTTCACTTGATCATTGTTTTTCATATCAATATTAACTACTTCCAAACATTTAATATGGTTTGTATTTCTTCCAAATTAAGATAAGGTTTGACTTTAAGAGCTTTCCCGGTGTGAGGTTTTCAGAAGAAGATGAAGCCAGAGATACATTGAGACTTTCCATATGCAATCTGGTAAAAGAGAATATTAATTAGGCGTTGGATTGGTTGATCCAACTGTAACCCATGATCCAAGAACTAGGCTTTTTAATGAGTCGTCCAATTTACCTGGGCAGTGATTACTGGTGGTTTTTAAGGAACTCATCCCAAATGGTTTTTTTTTTAATTTTTTTAATTTTTTTGTGTAATTTAAAAAAATTTTATTTTCTGGTGTGATAATTATCTACCCGTGATATATTCAACGGTCCTGCGTCGTACGCAGCGAAATAAATTTATAATAACGCAGTATAAAATAAAATCGGAAATCCGGAATTAATTTATTCAGTGAAATGTGACTAACATGGACTAACATTTAATCTTATTTATTATTTTATAATAATTATGTAAGGAAATAATGCACAAGTAAAAAAGAAAGAACTAATATACAATTTTCTAATTATAAAAAAATTATTTCTAAAATAAATAAACAATAATACCCAATACATACAATGTAAAATACATAAACGATTATTATTATTTAGTGGGAATTCGAATTTCATCAACATCAATTCTATCATTATCTTGTTGTTGTTGTTGCAAATCCTTATCTTCTTGGCCATCATTTCTTCTGTCTCTCCTATCATTATTACTACAAAAATCTCGGTTCATCTGAAATCTTCTGTAGACTCCATCGAAATACCAACAAATGATCCCGATAAAAATCACCATAATGCTTACCAAGTATGGTATATAGTAAGGATATGTATCTTTGGTATTTAACGGACAATTTAAATCCGAAGTTGTTAATGGCAAAGTTGTATTACTAATTGAATTATTATAATTTTCTGAGTAATATTGTGTATCTGGTGTAAAGAATGGTGCGGTCACAATAAACACCCCCGCCATAATAAACATATATATCAGTGGTGTAGAAACCTTGTATAAATTGTAACCATCTCCGTCGAGTTTTCTAAGAACCTAATTAAAATATTTGTTACACAAATGATGTAATGTTATGCGTTATTTTAATTAAAAAATAAAACACATGCACGCACAAAAATCACTAATACTAACAAATAATCCAATTGCGCTTAGCGTGTAATAAATCCAAGAACTATGCATTGACATGTTTATTAAAAATTTAAATGGATCATTCCCAAAAAAAAATAGTATAATCACGCTACACCAAATATACTGTGCTCCTAAAGCATAGACCGGTGTATTGTATGTAGGATGCCATTGTTTTAATAAGTGTGAAAATACTGGGATGTAATTATGTTTGGCTGCTGCTACAATTACACGTGATCCACTATATAAATATTACCCAATAAATAATATTCGTTGTTATTTTTTAGGAAAAAAAAAAAGAACTTTTGAATTTTTGAATTAATGTTTACCTCCATATTAACACTGCCATAACACCTAGTGCAGAAATACTGATCAAAAATGCCAAGATTCTTCCGAATATTTCTCCACCGACAATCATGGCGAATTGCCCTGCAATTACCTAAATAGGCAAATAAACAAATATAATTGAATTAGCTATATATATATATATATATATGTATATATATATATATCAGATATTAATTACTTCATTTGGATTTTGTTCTGGGCGAATCACAAGTTCTCTCGGTACGACGGAAATATATGCAATATTTGTAAAGATATCTGATTTACATAAATGGAAATAATTATGTTAATTAATAATACACATGTATGTATGTATATACAATATTTATTTGATACTTTACACAATATACCGACAATGATCACACTATAACGGTTACTGTTCATAAGTTTGTTTTCAGGGGCTTTAAGCTCGTCGATCGAGTCTATAAAATAATTGTATTGATAAATTTGAAGTTAGTCGCATAATTTCCACGATATATATATTAAACTTTGATTTATTTAAAAAAAAAACTTACAATTAAGATTGTTATACCCGTTATAGGCAAACAAAACCTAATATAAATATCATAAAATAATTTAATTATTGATATTAAAATAAAAATTAAAATAAAATAAAACTTACACCGATCATGGCTAATGCAAGTGAATGTGGAGTTAACTGAGTTTCATCAAATAAATGGTTCCAATTGTCTTTATTTATCGATGAGTTCAGTTTAATCAAGCCAATCAACGAAACAGCAATTAATGTACAGGTTTTGATTATTGTTAAACATTTATTGATGTTGTTGGCCAGCCGGTTAGAGTACATATGATACAAAGTCACAAAAGTGACACTTGCCAATGAAATCAATCGAATTCTCCAAAACTCCCATCCGGTTAAATATGATTTTGGATGAAGCGATGATTCGATACAGTCATGGTTTGAAAACGCATAAACAATATACTGGGAGAATATATTGGAGTCAGCAATAATTGTCCCGGGACGGATAACCATTATCATGGCGAGACTGAAAATGTAGGAGAGCAGATACCGGGGGTATCTGAATGCTTCCATTAGGTACACGACTTCTCCTCCGCCTCTTTTTACTCTAAGGCCGAGTTCAGCATATACCAGACTCCCGAATAAGCTGATGAACCCTCCGAGAATCCATAAAATTAAAGATAATCCGACAGATCGTGTTTCCTCCCATACTATCCCCGGAGTGCTATATATTCCCTATATATATATAAAGTTAATGAATTGATTATTAGAATTAAAAAAAAATTCCTTCCTTTTTATTTGTTTACTTACCACGCCGATGATATTATTAATGTTAATCAATAAACCAGACATAGAATCTAGAATTCTTTTGTCTTCTCTATCTACACTATCATCAGAAATGGTAGAAACATCATTTCCATGTAAATCTAAATCTTGACTTTCCACTTTGTCCATTTTTAATTTTTATTAATCTTTCAAATTATAATTTAAAATTATCGTTTATATTATAAAAGTTTTCGTTTTCTTTAAGAAATAAAATTTTGAATCAGAGGAAAAGTAACGACTTTTATAAACGATTTTTTATTGAAAGATATTTAGAAATCGCATCTAAAAATAAAAATAAAAATAAATCTAAAAATACATATTCATTGTTCATCTATATAAAGAAAAAAAATAATAGTGATCTTTAAAGT